CTTCCTGGTTTATTTTATGTGTGCAGTAGTATGTTGCTGGTGGCGTCGTGGTTGCATGTCAGGCTGTTAACCGCAAGGTCAGCAGTGGGAAACTACCAGTTGCTCCCAGCGAGAAAGTCCAGATTTTCCATTCTGGTCAAGAGTCTTGGAAACTCACATGGGCAGTTTTACCCTGTCCTCTAGGGTCACTGTGAGTCCAAATTGACTTGAGAAAAGTGAGTTAAAGTTATTTTATTTTTAAAATTTTACTTTATCTCCAAATCTCTGAGGGAGGAAAATGCAGCTCTCGGCTATCTTAAATATTTACAGCCTTGGCAACTCACAGAATTCTACTCTGTCCTGGAGGATGGCTAAGGGATGGAATGACGACAGCAATTAGTTTATTGCTGTTGTATTTTGGTAACTTCTAATCAATTCTTTGATAACCTAACCTAACCTGCTGTGGTTACAATTCCTACTTCTGGTGACCGTCCACCCTGTGGTTAGCAGCCGATGCCCAACCCACAGTGCAACCAGATCTCCCTACTTTCTTTGGAGGTTTATACACATCATTTAATGAGCTTTGATTTTGCCTTTCTTCCCAATAGGAATGTTGGAAAAAGGAAGAAAATTATCTAAACTAGAAAGAGAAGTGGCACTAAAGTTTCAACCTGTGCAATAATAGAACAGATAATGAGATTTAAATAAAATAAATAAAAAATAACAATCACTGAGCTGAAAAGAATATATAGAGCAAAATGAGAGAAAATGATATGAGACGATTAGTTGTAAAAAAGCACATTTAAACCATTTTGTTGTAACATGATTTTTACCTAAATATACATGCATATGCAAAACATACATATAATACACAAGTTATGTATCTTCCATATTTCCTGATGGAAGGAATATTGAGATTGAATAGCATACAGTTCAGAACCTACATTCTCATTATTTCATTTATCTCAAATTTAGTATACTTTTGAATTATAAATCTGCTTTGGCTTTCTTCAGGAATCCCTAGGTCATGTGAATGGTTCATGCTAGACTAGGAACTGAGTGGTCGACCATTTGAACTCAACCACTGAGATGTAGAAGACAGCTGCTATAAACTTCATGTTTATTAACTAGCAACAATTAAAGCATTTGAATAGGGCATAGTGGGTTCCCTTTTGGGTGAAAACCACAAAGTCAGTAGTTCAGATTTGCAAGCCATTCCAAGAGAGAGAGATGAGGCGTTCTACTTCCCTATAGAATGACAGTCTCAGAAACCCACCTGGCGGTTCCTGGTTTGTTCTACAGGATCAATATCTGTCCGATAGGGACACAATGAATCAGAGTTTACTTGATGGTAGTGAGTGTAGTCTTTGAGATCATTCAATATCTTTCATGCATACTTTTGGGAAAATTTGATTCTAGCAAATGAAACCAGATATTACTTTGGTTTCTTCTCCCTGACAAGAGAACCCTGGGAAATTGCTTAACTTTGCCAACTTTAGTTTCCTAATCGGTAAGTGCATAGAATCTTAATGCAACAGAGATGCTATGAGGACTGAATGAGGCTATGCTCAGTAAATACTAGTTCCTTTAAGCTAATTTTGTTGACACTTTTTTTTTCTTTAATTTGGCAATGCAACAACCTTAAAAAGGTGAAAATGCTAGACTGGAAAGAAATGATAGTGGAATATTTTGAGTACCGCACTATGATCATGTGGTAAATGGGGAAAGTGCAGGAAGGATATGGATGCCTTTTGCTTTTCTGCAGCAAAGCTGCATTAAACATAAAGGGGAGTCATTTTATTGAAGAATAAAAGCCTGACAATCACTATGACTGGCTGACGGCCATTACTGCAGTGTAATTCTAAATAGCTTGTTTTCCAAAGTTCTTCTATAATAACTCCTTAAAATGCAGTAATTGCCCAGACTGGCGAAACATTCCAAACTTATTGCAAGAGGAGGTTCTCACCATTGAACAACTGTGATCTAAGCGATAGAAAAAAATAATGCCTGAAATACTGTTTTCTTCTTAAATAATTAGCATCACATGGCGTCTGACAATGGAAGGAAAAATTTGGAAAACTAAGCAAACTAAGGTTTAAATGGGACACAATACGAATGCATGAGTCATTAAAGAAAAAGATCCCATTTAAATAAATTTTATTTTTCAAACAATGACCTATCGTGCATCTTGCAGTGAAGTTCAAAGCATTTCATCTGTATTACGCAGAATTAAATATTAAGGTTTCCAAAACAAACAAACAAACAAACAAACAAACAAACAAACAAAACCCAAACTCAACAGGGTTTAAGACGTTCCCACATCTATTTAGATGTATTCGACTTTCTTGGTCAGTGTCTCTAATCAGCCATCTTCATGCTGAAGTATGTATAATAAGTGGGTGTAGAGTTGGTAACAGTCCAAAATAAATATTTAATGATATCTTGGTTATTTTAAATCCCTTTAATTTAAATTGTGGATTAATACTTTATTTGGCAAATGAATTCTGACCAGAATGTTTGAGCAATATTGTTTGCTGCTGAAGGGCTCTGTAATGCTTGTGTACTTAATTTTTCTCAGGATTGTTCTGGTTGATTCTTCCATCAGATGACAATTTATCTTAAACGTCTCTATTGGAAACATAGGAATAACGATTTAGTCGCGACAATCTGGGAACTGCAAAACTGTTAATTGCCCACTCGCAAAAATCCCAGATATCCACCGATTCCACACAATCCATTCCAATGACGCACAGGTCCTGGTGTGAGTATTACACGCGCGTGCACACACACACACATACACAGAAGGGAAAAAAGAAATGTCTGTGGTCTTGCTTCCAGAAAGAAAGCTGATTCTTGAACAGGCAGCTATAGAAGAATCTCATGGCATCCAGCGATTGGCTGATGGCACGTTTGTTCAGATGACAGGGGATCCTAAACCACAGGCTGGGTGGAGAAATCCCTCACCTTCAGAATCCCCTGCTCAGCCACCTGGGCTCCCGCAGGCCTGGCCACCGGCTCTCTCCGGGTGCTTGTCTGCCCCTCTCGACCGCCGCCCAGCGCTCTCTCCTGCCCGTGAGCACTCACACAATGGACTCACTTGTGTCCCTCGCACCTCTGCTCGGGACTTCCAGCCCCAGCCAACAACTTGAGCCCGAGTCAGGCGGGAGCCCTGCCGGGGAGGCTCCCAGACGAGCTCGGAAGCACGCGCGCACACGCAGACCAAACAAACAATGCCTGGCCCACGAATGGACATGTCCACACCACTCGAGCCCCCACCACTCCGCCAACAGCCCCCCAAAAGGAGCCCCAGGCGGGGTCCCTTAAACCAGAGATTCTGCTTTGTGTTTCAAATGGCAAGCCCCTTCCCCGGAGACAGAGACGTCCAGCGTTCGCCCGGCAATAGAGCCCAGTGGTGGCTTTGCCCGCGACAACGCCCGCAGCAGAACGCGGCGGAGCTGGTTCCCAGGGAGCCGCGAGGGGGGAGTGCAGGTCCGATGGGGAGGGTGCTGGGACGCGGAGGCCGCTTGGGAAGGGTGGGCAAATGGGCGATCGGGGGACAGGGACGTCCGCTGAGTAAATCCCTGGGGTTAATGGTGAAACTTCGGGAGAGGAGGGGCTGGGGTCCGTCCCAAGGTAACTCCCTGGAGATGACAAATAGCTGAATGCACAGGAAGTGCCAAGAGACAACAAGTTGGAGGCGAGCGGCAAGTCGCGCACCTCCGCGCCAGCGCTCGGTCGGCAAACCCCCCTGAACTCCCCGCGCCCCCCAAGCCGCCGTAGCAGCGGCGGCGGCAGCCTCAGC